AAAAGCCCATTTATTATGTGAGCAAAGCACTAAACGGGGCTGAGAGTAGATATACGGCGATGGAAAAGACAGCCTATGCGCTTTTCATCTCCGCAAAAAAGTTAACATCCTACTTCCAAGCTCACCCGGTAGAAGTCTTGACTGACCAACCGCTGGGTGCAGTGTTGCGAAATTCAACATCCTCCGGGAGGATGGTGAAATGGGCGATGATGTTAACTCAATTCCACATTGAGTACCGACCGAGGTCGGCAATTAAGGGATAGGCCCTTGCTGACTTCCTAGTAGAAATGACCGGTCTAACTCCAGACTTACCGGTCAACAAGCCCACTGAGCAATGGTGGGAGATGGCAGTTGATGGGGCATCCGGTCCTAGAGGATACGGGGGTGGTATCGTGTTCACCACCCCAGAAGGGTTCAAGATCTACCATGCAATCGTCTTCAACTTCAAGCTGACAAACAATGAGGCAGAGTATGAAGCTTTGGCTGGAGGGCTCAGACTGGCCCAAGCCCTGAAAATCAGCCGGGTCAGTATCAAATCTGACTCTAACCTGATAGTTGGGCAGGTGACCGGTAACATGGAAGCAAGGGAAGGACGCATGGCACAATACAAGGACCTTGTACTTGCCCTGTTGAAAGGCTTCGAAGAATTCAAGATCGCCCAAATTCCCCGGGCGGAGAACGCGGATGCAGACCTTCTCTCCAAATTGACGCAGTATGCTCCCGAGCATGTTTTGAAACTTGCCCGGGTGGAGATCCTTGGTCGTGCAAGCATCGAGACATTGGAAGTCACCGCTATAGCGACAGGGAGCCAGTTTGACCGGTCAAACTTGGTCCGGGCGGACGACCATTGGATGTATGATCTGATGGAATATTTGACGGATGGGAGCTTGCCAGAACAAGATGACCGGGCAAGAAAAGTGAAGCTCAGGGCACCCCGATTCCAAATTCTTGATGGAAAGCTGTATAAAAGGGCATTTGGGGGGCCACTCCTGAGATGTCTAACCAACCGGGAGGCTAAGCGAGTCATAGAGGAAGTCCACGAAGGCGTATGCGCGGCGCATCAAATGTCCCGTACACTTTCCCAGCGCATTATCTTGTTGGGGTATTACTGGCCAACAATTGTCCAGGACTATGAGAGGTATGTACAGAAATGTAGAACATGTCAAGTGTTCTACAAGTACCCCGGTAGACCAGCAACCTACTATCACCCCGTATCGAATGTCATCCCATTCGCTAGGTTCGGGGTTGATATCATTGGAGCATTCCCAGTCGCCCAAGGAGGGAAGAAGTTCGTGATCGTAGCCATCGATTACTTCACCAAATGGATCGAG